TGCCTCCCCTGGATGAGTCAGTGGCCGCGCATCTCTGCCCGCCCACGGCCATCGGCTGGAAGGCAAAGGCGGCCCACCCGTCCAAGCCGTGTAGGGCGACTTCGGCTCTCGCCGGGCGAGCCTACTCGTCTGCTGGACAAGCGGCCTCAGCGCTTCATTCTATGGCGGTCTTACAAGTCTTCCAGGCCAAGCTCCTCCATTGCATGGACGAGTCCGGCCCAGACCCCGCGGCTTGTAAGGAGCTGCGCAGTGCGACCGAACTGTCTCTACGCACCACCAAGATGACAGCGCAGGCGATTGGCAGATCCATGACCAGCCTAGTGGTGCTGGAGCGCCATCTATGGCTAAACTTGACGGGTTTCCCCTACTGACCTGTTTGGACCTGCAGTTGAAGGCTTCGCTGAACGCTTTACCACTGCACAGAAGTTGTCCCAAGCAATGCAACACTTCCTGCCAAAGCGCTCCAGCTCAACGGCTGCTTCTAGTCGCCCCAAAAATGTGCCGACTCAGCACCCCGTGAAGCCCGTGCCACCAATTGCTCCCACGGCTCCTTGGCCCGAGCCTCGCCAGCGCTCCCGCTCGGCCAGACGCCAGTTTCCTAAACGCCAGGGCCCCCGACCCAAGATAGTGTTGGACCCTGCGCCTCAGGCATCATCCTGATCTGCGGGACAGGAAGAGGAGGGGGCCAAGTCTCCCTGTAGCCGAACCACCACCCAAAACGCCTCTGTTATGCCTCCAAGCACCCCGTTCAGTTCCGGGTGCTGATGGCAGTGTGTTTGTGACAAAAAATACTGTTGTGAGCATGAGGACCGTTCTAGCGGGAAAAATAAAATGCAAACATTTTAAAAAAGACAGCAAATTTCCTCTTCCACTCATTGCGAGCGTTAGGTCCCCCCTAGGTGGCCCACCGCTCGAGCCAATCCAGCCCCTTGCCACGCGGGCCGAGGCCTGGCAGGCCATCCCCGGAGCTGGGCCATGGGGATAATAAAATGAGGTTATACACTCCAATTTGCTCGAATACCCCTGCGTTTCAGCGGCGTGGTCCCCACCTCGGTTCAGAGCGAGGATGCAGACGTCCTGCGTGCCGAGGTGATAAATTTGCTGGCAAAAAGAGCCGTAGAAACGGTTCCCCCAGCCGAGAGCAAGTCAGGCTTCTACAGCCGTTACTTCCTCGTCCCCAAGAAGCCTAAGGCCCATTCTCGATCTCAGATGTCTGAATTGCGCCCTCATGAGACGGCCGTTCAGGATGATTACATTGAAACAGATCCTCTCGCAAGTATGCCCAGGGGACTGGTTCTTTTCACTGGACCTGAAAGACGCTTACTTTCACATCCAGATAGCCCCCCATCACAGACGATTCTTAAGATTCGCCTTCAAGGGAGTGGCATATCAATACACGGTCCTTTCCCTTTAGACTGTCCCCGGCTCCTCGCTCTTTTACGAAGTGCATGGATGTGGCTCTTTCCCCTCTGAGACAGATGGGGAATGGAGAATGATCCACATTCTGAACTACCTTGATGTTACGTCTTAGTGAGTTACTCTGTGTTTATTCCCAAGTCACAGGTGATTGGCTGTCTGTAGGTGATTGGATGACGTGGTGCTGCACCTGGACTAAATCAACTGGTCTTAAAAGGGACTTGCAGGAACAATGAGAGGAGAGATTTAGAGGTTTGTTATTTTGCCGGCCCAGTCGGAGGACGAGCTACTATCTCACAGATCCCTCTTCCTCAGCCACTTAGAATGCCTGGGACTCAGGGTTAATTTTGCCAAGAGCGCGCTGCCCCCCAGACAATGGATATCGTTACTGGGAACAGTTTTACACTCAGCCCAAATGAGGGCGGTAGCCGCGCCAGAACGTGCGCTGGCCATTCAGCAGCTCGCGGCCTCATTCAGAGTTGGAGCCTCTCGCCCCCTCAAGGTGTTTCAGAGGATGCTAGGCCTCATGGCCTCGGTGTCTCCGGTACTACAGTTGGGCCTGCTCCGCATGCGGCCCCTTCAGTACTGGCTGAAACCACGAGTTCCATCCCGCACCTGGCATCTTGGACGCCTTCGTGTCAAGGTGGACCAGGCCTGTGTAACAGCCCTAGTCTCTTGGAAAGATCCTCAATGGATGGGAG